GGCAAGTTCTAGTGAATTTAGTGCCACTGCGTTTGGACTTCGGTGATCCATTTCCGCTCATCATATCCTTTAGCCTATGTAATGCGATGTACACACTTGTCTTAAATACGGATTCACTCTAGCATTCATCATAGTCCTAATGCGCTTGTTCCACTTGCTTCACGGCATATCCAGGAACATGAAGATAGAATATGACCCATTCCTAAGATGAGCTGCTGCTAACAGAACTGCTTCTGTTTCATCAGCAGAACTAAAGACATGCCCATGAATTCTCGGTTCACCCTAGTGTGTATAGTTTGGGCAGCGGGTTATGCGCATCAAGTCTGATGGCTTGTTACAACATCTAAATTGTCACATTTGCAGTTTCCCTAGCTTACGTCATCGAAATTTTATATATTTGTAGCATTTGACACCGATACTAGAAAGTTGGTGCACATTAGTTATGGTAAGCCATGTGGTCTATTAATGACCCTTTTTGAAGCTTTGGTCGGATCACCCGCCATGCGCGTTCGCATACTTTTGGTATAGGGTCAGTACCTATCAGTTCGTCTCCTTCATACATTTCGGGTCTTGTTGTAATAATTAAAGGCCTTAGAAAAGCATCTGCTTTTGCAGTGGATGTGAGATTTTCTCCTCCCCTGCAGCTGTAACCTCGTAAGCCACCACAATCGTGAAGAGCCTTGCAACATTCTTTTTCATAGTACAACAAACAGCTAATTTCAGAGTGCTGCTAAAAGTGCGGTCATTTGCTTTCGTTCCTACTATCGCACCAAGTTCTCGCACATTTACAGCATAGTTTGCTGAAGTCACGCTCTTGTGTGACCTGTCAAGTTGACTTCGTTAACCACTTAACCGAAGCAATGGACTCAGGTCTTCAGTGCATTGTCATCTTCCTTGATATGCAAAAAGCTTTCGACAGAGTCCAATACAAGAGACTGCTATATAAATTAAATAGGTAAGGTGTGACAAATCAGCTTCACTCTTGGCTCCAATAGTACCTAGTAGGATGACCGCAAGTTGTGTATAAAACTGGCAACATATTTTCCCCTCGTCTGGCCACCAGTGGGGTGGTCTAGGGCTGTGTTTTAGGTCCGTTCCTCTTCCTAATGTATATGATCTTGTTTCTGTTATACAATTTGACAAGTTCTATTTGTTTGCTGATGATCTTAATGTTTCCACGTTCTCAAGTTCTCAGCATAACGCTGAACTTAACATAATCCAAAGTGACTTGAAAGCAAATGACAGATGGGCTGACATGTGGGAGATGACGTTTGCTACATCGAAGTGTAGCATTCTGGTTTATGGATGTCAGTTAGAAGCATAAATTTCCAGGCTTCATGAGGAAGCCCTTCCCATCATCCAATCTGTCCGCTTTAGTTCCTTAAACTTTAGCGAACATACAAATGTTATTGTGAAAAAGGCTAAGCAATCAGTTTAGCTCATAAGCCACCAGCTAACCTCGAAAGAAACCAGACTAATTACTTTCAAATTCAGTATCAGCCTTTTGCTTGAAGTTTGCCTTGTTACGTTTAGAAACCTGCAAACCTTGTTCTTGCGCGCCATTGAATAGCTTCAACGCGCTTTCATGAAGTATATATTCAGTTGTTCAACCACTCTTTCATATAGCGATGGATGCATGGAACTGCATTTAGGACCTTTGTGGTTACTAAGAATGCATTCAACTCTCGCTTCCTCCACAAACTCCCGTGGCGGAAATCATATTTTAGAACCTAATAGTTGCACTTTCGGGAAAATGTAAGTTATGAAGTGCATGATAGTAAATGTATAGTCTCTATCGAAATTCAGGAACAGCCCAAGGAGAAATGTCTAACTTCTTAGGTATAGCTCCATATAGGAAAAGCTGCGAAAAAGAGATTAGATGTATTGAACATTTGTGCATGTGGAAGAAAATGATATAGCTTTTTCTCTCAGAGGACAGATTGAAACAGATCTTGAGAATTCAACTTGATGATGAAAAGTTGCATGAAGAAGGGCCGGATCATGTACATCCTTGTGCACATTAATTAAAACAAACTACGATTCTGTCTCTTTTTCTATGAATATCATGTTTTTATACATGAAAGCTGCCGTTTTGCATTTATTTTTTATTTTATTTTGGGAATAGATATTTCATCATTGTTTGTGAATCAGACGATGTAATAACTGCGCATGTCTAGTCGTTACATCACCCAAGATTGCATCATACTTTTTTATGGTTAGTAAGGTTTTTGTTTCAACTTCTTGTTTTTGTGATTCAGTCATTGTTTGAGATGGACGTGACTCCCAGAAGGCGCATGAAGATCGTGACCTTGCACGAACACACAGACAAGACCTACAGGAACATAGCAAGAATAGTAGGCGTCAGTCCGGCAACCGTCATCCGTGTGGTCAAAATGAAAAAGAAAACGGGATGCATTTCGCCAAAACGCAAAGGGAAATGTGGTCCTAAGAAGAAAACCACTGCCAGGGATGCCGCTTGCCTAATACAGGAAAGTGTTAAAGATCCTCGAAAGACTAGTGACGCATTAAAACGTGATTTGGGGGAGAAAGGAATAGAAATCAGTTCTTCAACGGTTCGCAGGCGACTCCTGGAAGTTGGTCGGAAAGCCAGACGGCCTGTGAAGGAACAACTTCTGACAAAAGTAATGAAAGTTAAGCGTTACAAATTGGGACTAAAATACAAGAACTGGACAAAAGAAGATTGGAGAAAAGTCCTATTCAGCGATGAAAGCCATTTCTATGTTCATGGTCAGAGAAGTCAGTATGTTCGGAGGTCAGAGGGAGAAAAGGTTCGTGATTCACACATTGACCACTTTGTGAAACACCCACAAAAGCAGATGTTTTGGGGGTGCTTTAGTTATTACGGCGTCGGCGCCTTGCATCTAGTCCAGGGCATGATGCGCTCTCCACAATATATAGAAGTTCTCCAAAGAAGAGCTGTTCCAGAACTAACAAAGACATTTCCTGACGGATCTGGCGTATTTCAACAAGATCTGGCCCCGTGCCACACATCAAAAATGGTCAAGACTTTTTAAAATACTAATCAAATAACCATCTTGGACTGGCCTGGGAATTCACCAGATTTAAACCCCATTGAAAATATGTGGTCTACTTGCAGGCAACGCCTTCGTGGCATGGACTGTACGACAAAGGAGAAACTTAATCAAGCTTTAATTCAAGTTTGGTACAGGGACCCAAGATGGGCTAAAGTTTGTTCAAATTTAGTGGATTCCATGCCAAACCGTATTAAAATGCTACTCAAAAGTCGAGGTCATGTTGTGTATTAATGTGAGTATATTAGTGCAATTCATTATAACAATTTTGAAAAAATGGTTTTTCAGTGTTTTCGCAGTTTGTTTCAATTAATGTGCACAAGGATGTATAATACCGGAGAACATTGACTGGAAATATGTTCAAAAATGCAAAAGCGCAAACTTGCTCAGCCAGGTTGAGCGGTTACAACTGCTTCGAATGCTATTCTTTAACGCTACTTCCTATGCAGTTTTACTCCTTTCAAATATAATTCATACCAACTGTCTTCTGGTTTAGGGCCGAGGGCAAAATTATTTACTGATATGGGACAAGGAACAATCTTCGTAATCTCCCCCTCAAATTGTTCCGCGACCCCCTTCGCTACATTTGTTCTGTAATGATAACCGTTTCCCCTTCTTTTCCGGACTTAACAGTTCAGCAACACATACGGAATTTCAGTGATTATCTATATCGGATTCCCTATTGTACGAATACATGCTACTAATATTGACTCCGAAAATTCGTTTTAGTGCCGTTTTGCCTATGGACAACTCATGCAGTCATCTGTCTTCCTCTGTCACGCCGCGTAATTTGCTCGTATGATCGGCTAGATCCATTTTTACGCTAATGTAAAACGCATTTGCTTATTTTTGGCGTCAACGATATTGCACCTATTGCAGTCAACTTTTCTTGTTTTATATTATTCCTTATTCCATTGTTGGTCACGACTTGACTGATCTCCTGAGGTGGCGGATTGAGGCTCCCAGGTTATAAAAGACCATACGCATGCAAGGCACATTGTCACCAATTAAATGGAATATACAAAGTGCCACCATTGAATGATCCGCTTGACGAACAGGGCGGAGGTTTCATCGCTCTTAATGCATGCATGAAATCAGATCTAAAAAGGACACAACATATGTTAAACTGGTGATGGCTTACATGCTATTTTGTTAAACCGGCACATGGCCACTTGGAGCATGGATGTGCGAGCGAAACTTTTCTAGGTATTACACTGCATGGAAACAGGTACCCTGGGGCCGGTTCCACAGACGACCGTATTACTTTACATGAACATTTAATTCAATCTCCATTTGTTATTGATCTCGGCTTTTCAATTTCTTTATTAACTTCAACCTGCCCATTACTTTAATATCCGTTTGGGATCCAGTGTATAAAGCGAGAAAGATTAATTTTTTGTGCGATGCTGTTGTACACACGGATCAGACCAGGTAGTTGGATTGTGCCTCTCATCGCCGAGGAATATATATATATATATATATATATATATATATATATATATATATATATATACATATTGGTGCACAAAGCTTACAAATACCTTTTCTTCCAGTTACGTGCGAAAAAGCTGTCGATAACACTACCGAAACTCAGTCACTCTGCAAATTTTCTCTTCATGGAGAGAACTATCGAGTCCGTAAAACTTGTCCATTTCATTGCTGCTCGGAGCCAGTTCTTTAATTGCTTGAGTTATTAGAATTACCGCTCACAAATGGCAATGCTAATAGCTCAGGTAAGACAGATAGGCATCAAACTCACAATGGTGCCAGCGGTTTTTCGGCGATCTAGGATTAAGTAGACTTTACCTACCTCTTCCCGATTTCTTCCAGTAACTTTTGGAAGCAGATCAAAATAATAAAAGAAATTTTCTGAGTTCGCAAACCTTTCTCCATCTGGCTTCACCAAGAAGACACTACGCACTGTGATAACCCATCAAACGAGCAAGCTGAACACTCCTTAGTGATTTATTTAGGTTAAAAATAGGAAAGAACATTTTGGCTTGCATTCGTATTTCAAATCAATGGGATGGTTATTTAAGTAAAATTGGAGAGCACGTTGGAAAACCACCCAGGATGAAGGAATCAATCCTGATTCCAACTTGTCATCTGTTCGTGCAGGTTATTCTACTTTGCGCTCCATTTTTGCAAGGAATCAGACAGATATTTCACTTTCCCCTCCAACATGGCAATAGTCTGCGATGCCTCACGAGCAGAAATCTCCGACTCCATTAACCTTTAGGTACAAATGAAGTGTACAACAGACGTTACATCATTACCTGAAGTAGGCAGATTATGGTATAATGACAGACATATCCTTAAACGTTATTTCGCACCTTTCTACGAGTTAATCGGACACAATAATGCGGTGGAGACAACAGTAGCAGGGAGAGATGCTGACTGAGCTGGTTTTACAGTTTAAATTCACTTATTGGTAAGGCAGTGTACCTGTAAGCTACGGTCTGCTACAATACCAAATTGCTCAACTGGTTGAAACACACCTCTGTAACTTGGTTGAGATGCTTTATCACAATTCCATTGAAACGACTAAATGAATTATTTATTTATTTGAACGAGTATACTGTGATGGGATCTAAAGGCAGTGGAGGCCAGGTAACATTTTACCCATGTCTGCTAGGCAAAAATGAACGATCCGTTGGTCTAATGATTGCGCCTTTGCATGTTCTACTTGCAATCCACAACTAGTTGATCACAGAGCTTGTGGTCAAATAACTTGCTCGCCAATCCACCGAAATATGATAAGTCATCCAAAGCACGGTGAAATGCTTTAATATTAGAATTGTGACATACTTTGTCTGAAGCGCGTTACGCTCTTTTCGCAGACTTTCGATATGACGCCCCACCGTTTCTTCTAAAGTTCGGCAGAAAGTGACCTTGTCGGAATGTTGCTTGTCTCGCGCCCTCCTGAAACTTTGTTTAAAAGACAGTGCAAGTTGTTCTATAAAATCTCCGTGCTGTGTGCTTTCCACACTCCGTTGTGCGTAACATCGGCAGAGTAGTTTCTGTAGAGCGGAGGTCATTTCCAGAAAGCCACCAATGTGATCTCCGTGATCGCAGTTTGATTCACAAACCGTTTGTTGTGTTGCATCACTATACTGCTCAGCCGTCTGAACATATCTTTCTTGAACTTCGTTCACTCTTTCCAAACCGTGTCGCTTCTTTTGCTGAAAATCAAATTTCCACACACGTATCAGAGTTATTTCGCAGCTTGGAATAGCTGCGCAGGTATGATGTTCTTCTTTATGCTTGCGTTAACACAGATTAGTACGTGCCAATCTTTCAACTAACAGTACTGAATTTCGTAGCAACTTACTGCTTCGGGAAAGTGATGTCACAAAGCAACGTGCCAGTTTTACTTCAACCACGGTGTTTAGGTAACTAATCGGAGGGTGTCAAAGGGACCTAATTTAAGAGCTTTCTGCTAGCACGTAGGACGATTCGACGGAAGTCACTGACCACACCCAGAAAATAAACCACCAAATTTTCTTCCAGAAACATGGTGCGCCGTCACCAAAGCAGCCTGATACTAAACACTGGCTGACTGTCATTAAGATATGCTGATATTTCCTGGACCTTCATTAGGCTGATCATGTAAATGCTTAGTAGGATGTACAAACTCTCCCTAGCAGGGTCTTACTGAAAAATATTTACTGCTGGTTGAATGTTCTGCTCAACGTGTATGTCTACAACACCCTTTGGTAATGTTGTTTATCCTTGGGAAGTGCCTCTTCGCTCATCATGGGAACTGATACACTCATGTAAGTGCTGAGTGAATTCATCACACTGTTTTTGACTAAAAACAAAGTATACCCGATCTTGACGCCAATTGGTCCTAAAGTCCGCCTACAATGGAAAGCCTCAGAATTAGTTTGGAGGCGTCGTTATATACGTCAAAGCGTTGGTGTACTCCAGAAGCGCTGCCGTCTACAAACTTAACACACTAAAACAACTGCCATTAAATTGATTATATACCGTTGCTGTTTGAGCAGCATTCACGCTTCATCAGCGTCCAGCCGAAAAGAGTACACACTTGCATTGTAAGCTGAGGTCACGAGTTCGAATCCGCGCGGGAGTTTGGGCGACTTTGCGGTATATCTACCCCACACCCTATTGTTGGTAGTCGCTTGGCAGTGAAGCATCGATACGAGGTGTCGGCGTACTACTGACCTGCACTGTCAACCATCGTTCCTGCAGCGCTACAGCCTAACATCGACTTACTTCTGCGCACTGCTGCCAGTGACCTTAAGAAAGTGATACAACTTACATCTGAACATTCGTTTTTAATAACTTGGGGTTTCACTGTAGTCCTAAGTCCCACTGCATGATTGAAAGTCAGTGCACACTAATATATGTTTTCAATAATTTTTCTTCGAGCTTGTACATTATATGTGGAGAAATCAAACCGTTAGACACAATATAAATGTAGATAAAGTATGTTCCTTTCATAAAAATTGATCACCCACCATCACGATCCGTTTGTTCACAACTGCGGGATGTTTAGATCTCCGTGCGCTGGACGTCACAGTTCGATTGGGGTTTGTTTTCACACAAAAATCGCTGCTATTTTCTAATCTAATGAAAGAGCTCCGCAGCTCAGACCGTCTTATTCTAAAGTTATGTCTTGTCATTTACCGCAAGATAAAATTTGTCATGTTAACAAAGTGCCATTCAATACCTTCAAGTGGCAAGTTGGCTCGACATCACATACTGCAATTCTTTAAACGACGCAGGCTTCAAAGGATTTTTTGGTTTTCACGAACAAACACTTATACATGGAGTGTGAGAACTTGGCTATGTCAACCTTTATTATATTTGTCCTGTTGGAACCATGTACCTAAGGAACAGACAGATTATCTTGGCTGCTACTAATGAAAATTTAAGTGGAGAAGGAACGAGTCAGAAAGTGTAGGATATCTGCCCAAGTTGGTCGACTTTCCTTGGCAGTAAAACTTTAGGTGATATGATAGATTTGTTCAAACATTACCACCACTACCAACAAACAACTAGGCAACAAAATTTCAGCAGCAGTTATGATAACTTTGTTATGGACTAATCACATACACGGTTCTTCCATAAATGGTGTATTCGCCATGCGTACTTTTGTTAGGCACGACCAGGTGGTTATCCTTGATCTCATTAATGTTTACCGGAAACAACATATTTGCGACAGATAAGTTTCGTGACGATGGTGTATCATCAAACCTTGTTGTAAAGGAGTACGCAGGCAAATCACTTTTCGCTAAGTTTCCATATTATATGTGACACTATGTCTAACATTTAGAGACCTGTAAACAAAACGCCCATATCCAGAAAGGACCCCAAAAATATCGTTCAATGATACGTATGCCAGTGCTATTAAAGATCGTCAAGGAGTTACGCGTCTCTCTGATTTTCATATTCACTCAGGCATACGATGTTTACAGGTTCGCGTATTAACCTAATCTCTTCATCAGTGATACTGCATTGCAGATGGTACATCTTGCAGCATCCGCAAGTAATTAAAAATGCAGAGCAGAGTAGCTTTTGCTTCCCAGCTTTTAAATGCCATTATGAATGTTGACAGATCATACCTGATCAAGATTCTGTTTGGAATGGTGTTTAACTATATACATGCATCGTGACTTAAGATTACTGAACATAGGAACAATGGTTTAATACGGATAAAAAAGCTAACGCTGAATAGGTCCCGTAGGAAAGTTATGGTAAATATTCCAAATATAGAAACAGTGCCAGCAAAATTATGCTTACAACGATGGACCGGCCACCATATACGTAATAGAAACTCTGAATGACGACAAATGGGGTGTCCGTCAAGATCCTGTTGTCTCCTAGTAAACATACAGGTGAAAAAGATTGAACATTTTCTGGGGGCTGACTGTCAGTGAACTCTCCAACCGATACGCATGGGCAAAGAGTCGTGTGAGATGGTGTAGCGAAATGAGTGCAAGTTCAGCTCAGGTTTTGAACTCCATCAGTGTGGAGGCATAGATGACGGATTTCGCAAATGCATTTTACGTTTGGAAAACACGTAAAGGAAAAGAGTTTCGGACGGCATTCCAAACGACTGTACTGCTCTGCCAGTTTAAGAGGGTGGCTTGTCAAATTACTGAGATGACTGAGCTTCAGCAGATGGCGACTGGCGTCTTCACGGTCTCTCAGATTTTGATTAGCCATTATAACGTTTCTATACAATCACCGTATCGTAAGCCGAACACCCAGTTACTCAGGCTTTGATCGCCGAGTAAATGCTACAGGTCTTTGAAGTCGCAGGTTGTCCAGCTTTTGGCATCTCCAAAGCAATGATATATCTTTTCAGTCATGGTTGCTAGAAGTGCATTGCATATTCTGCGTATGGATGTACGTATCCGCCGAAAAGCTGCTAAAAGATAGAAGGGTCGAGGAGTCCGAACACACTTCCCAGTAGACTTACATTTCGGAGACGCATTTTTGATGACTTCTCAACTGAAACCAACGGCTAAGGTAGACCTGAAACAAAGAGTTTATACACTTTGCGCCGGACGACCTTTGAAGCTCCTTGCTGCCCATTTTATACAACACACTTGCTGGTGGTGTACGTGTGTTACTTCAAATTTTTCCACATTGAACCGAGTTCGACTTTAAATTAACCATCCGTAAAACCTTATCCATAACAGGTTGAGGCAGCGTAGGATCACCTAGTGTACTAATCGTTCTACATACCTTGTCCTCAAAATAGAGTAAACTGATCTTTAGCTTATGAGACATGCTCTGTGGTCAATAGTTGGCTGAACTCTAAACGACTACCTCTCTTGTAAATTAGTTACATCCCGTGCTTTCACATAACAGATACCTGCCTTTCGTCAAAACAACGCAGGAAGAACCGAGCCATAATGGAACAATGGTTTATAACGGGTAAAAAACGTCAAGCTTAACATGTCCCGTAGGTTTGTAATGGAAGAAATCGTAAATGAAATATGATATGTGTGGATCAGACAAAATGTTCATGGGTAAAGCGATAGAGTTATTGCGTAAGGAAGGACGATTGTGATAATGCGATAGTGCAGGCAAAACCAAATAAGAAATTTTATTGGTTACTACTCATAGCAAGTAACAAACAGATTGCTCACCCCTCTGCACAAATTTACGTGCGGCACTATGGGTCCTAATTCCAAAGAGGCTAGGTAACCAGAGTGAATCCGGAATGTCCGTTTAAGTAACAAAGTGTTAGGCGTTCAATTCGATATCCAATGATTTTTTGAAAACAACTAAAGTGGAGGTACAGACATCTGAATTTGGAAGGGCATTTCAGGGTTGGCAGACCCGTAGGGAGAATTATTTTCGTCGTCAATAGAGATGACTGTGTAGTTGATTATGGTTCAGGCTGTTACCTCTTCGGTTGGTGTTCGGGCTATTACAAAAGGTGACGGCATACGTGACAGGGGTCGCTCAGTATCTGATAGATTAATATAACGTCTCTACGTAGTCGCCGCTAGCGTCCACTATACACCCGGAGTGTCTTCAGTCATTGCTTGTACGGAAGTTTGTGCAAACTTTTGCATGACCTTGGGAAGTTTCGGACGTTATAAGGTCACGCTTTACCCCAAGATGCCAAGCTTGCATTGCATATTCGACGTAAGGTCGCATGTAGCTTTTGAGCATGGAAAATGGATGAATACCTTCCGCAAGAGACCAACATGCTAGTTACATCACTTTGTACCGGATTCTGACTGTCTGGAATAACCGAGGTCCCTTGTACCAGCACAATGAGATCACGTTCTCTAAAGGACGTCTGCAGCTCGCGCGTCCCAACTTTGCAGATATAGGCGTGTCGATGGCGAAGGTAGACAACGCGGCCTTTCTCCACATTGAATGGCAATGCATTCCTCAACAACCAATGTCAGGCCTCATCGAGGTCGCGCTGGAGGATCTCGTGGACGTCCATTCCCTTGATCACTCGCCAACTTTTAACGTCATCCGCAAAATTAAAAATTTTGAGGCGGGAGCTTTCGGTAGATAGTTAGTAAAAACTAAAAACAACAGAGGTCCAAGTACCGAACCATGCAGCACGCCGTACTCCAGTCGAATCGTGTCGGCCAGATGTTCGGACTCTGACGTCCAACTTTCGTTCGCAGAGAAAGTTACAATGCATCATGGGCAGAGCTCCCTTACGATTGCAAGTGTCGTC